CCCGGTCAGCTTGCGGGGGTCCAGGGGCAGTGCCCCTTGGCAAGTCCGAGACAACGCCATGGCGGAGTTGAGGGGCAGTGCCCTCGAAGCAAAATGCAATAATGCATTCAAAGTTGCCTATCCGCTCGAGCGTCCATTTCCCTGCTCGAACGAAGAATGCTTGGTTCCAGAAGTTTAACCTGTCTACAAATATGTTGTGAGGCGTGTTTTTAAGCTCGAGCGTCCATTTTCCCGCTCGAGCGTACATCCTGGTTTGGAACACGCGATATAGAGTCCCCACTCGAGCATCCATTCCCATGCTCGAGCGGACCTCGCGATTTCAGATTCTGTAAAAGCTCAAGTTTCCTCAAATCTAGGATTACGACTTCCAGATATTCTTTGAGGGTTCTAGGGTTTATATCTGGAGTTTCTTTTCTAGTTTTCTTTGATGTTTAATTGAGTATTTAGCTCATGGCTTAAGAAAGATAAATCAAAGGATTGTTTGCTTATTCAACACAAAAGAGAGAGTTGTTCTTCGGTGGATTCTGGAGAATTTGAGCCTGAAGCTTTGGTGGATTCTAGAGTGGCTCATCGTCGTGATTCGACATCGGCGTTGTGGATTCAACATTGGGCAAGACAATTCTGAGGTGAAGACAGGGTTAGAAGAGGCACATTGGGGTCGGTTCATTTCGGGTATGGATTCGCTAGGTAATTAAGGAATGCTTGTGTAATTCCTTTATATCTTCTTAGTGGATTGTTTTGTGGCTTTTGCCTGTGGTTTTTTTATCACAGTTGGAGGCGCTCCAATTATGATTTTTCTACGTAAAATCGTTGTGCTGATTTGTCTTGATTGTTTGATTGGAATTGATATTTATTACTTAAAATTAATATATAATCACAAATCAATATTTAGAAGATTTGTAGATTTTTTAAAAAGTTATCTAAAAGTGTTAGGTGGTCACACTGTTCCAACCAATAAAGGACACCATTCTATAGCTTTCCGTCTCACAGTCGCATTGCACACTCTGCAAAGGAGCAACAATCTTTTGATTTTCTATGCAACGATCCTCAATGGGTTCAAGCATGGATGGATTCAATGTGCATCGACGATCTAATATGTAGCTTTTAACATTACCATTTTAAGATTAATTATCTTGAGCTTTCATTAACCATTGAAAATGATCTGAGCTTTCATCATTTAACTAATTGAGTAACTCAGGTTGTCATCATTACTTATTTGATATTGAGCATGCCTATCGTGGGTTTGAGCTCTTTTTGATTGGTCTATCAAAGGTAATGAAATACTCCTATCAGATAACCGTCATGTCACCATCTTCCTATTAATGAAACAATGTCATTGGTAAAGAATAAAAAATAATATACTTAAATAGAATTGTCACAATCCTTTTGGCCAAGGAAGAAAAAGAAGAAACTCAAAGAGTTATAAAATTACCTTGCAATTGAGAATGGTTTTTTCGCATTTGAATTCGAACAGTCCCACCAACCATACGAGCAGTGTATTGGGTTTTGAACAGAGAGAGAGAGAGAGATGAGAATTGTTTGTGATTGATCGGCTTGGTAGAGAGAGGAGAGGAGGAAGGAGAAATGGTGGTGACTGTGAAGTGAGGCCATAGAGTTGTGGTGGCTAGAGAGTGGACACAGAGATCTTGGAATTTCAGTGCATGAATTGTGACCCCTAAACGTACACTCATGGGTCCAATGTTCAATTCGAGGCATCATCTCTGTTTGTCTGTCTTTGTCTCGCTGTTTGTGTCTATCTCTCTTTATCTCAAAATTTTTATTATTTTTTTAACTTTTTTTTTTTTAAATTTTTAATTTTGTAGCTTAACCACCAAGAAAAACAAACTCACCACCCATTATCATTACCTCATTTTATTACGAGCTGCTGCAATAAAATATTCATGGGTCTAAAATGAACTACTAATCATTACCTCATTTTATTACGAGCTGCAGCAATAAAATATTCATGGGTCTAAAACGAACTACTATTGACTTCATGGTTCCTTATTTTTATACAAGTTGCTCCAATAAAATATTACAAAAATAATAACTAAAACCCACTTTAACTTTAGGAATATAATTAATTTTAAAATTTTGATATAAGTACACTAATATTTTTTTAATAAAATAAAAATTATCAAAATTAATTTAGTAAAAAAAATAAAATATTATTCACCTTGCTTGTTTTTACTTTTCAAAAAATACTTTTTAGAAAATTTTACTTTCTTATTTTTCGTGTTTTTTTATTTTTAATTAATTTTTTTAATATTTTAAGTAATTTTTTTACTTTTTAGATACACCTAACATAAATACAATTTAAAAGTAAAAATTTGTAAAAAAAAGCTTTTAAAAAATCACTAAATACCAAAAATACAAAAAAAAAAAACACACAAGAATTAAGTACATTTTTTATATTTTTATGTATTTATTAATTTTTGAAAATATTTTTTTACAATTTTTTTACTTTTTAGATACATTTAAGTAAGGCGCATTTAAAAAAGAAAAAAATGTTTAAAATTTAAAAAATATTCACTAAAAACAAAAAAATACGAAAATCAAAAAAATCAATTTTTAAAAAACTTAATTTAAAAAATTCAAACCAAACACGCTGATTATTTTTTATTCATAAGATTCAAAAATTATTGATAAAATAATTTATATATTATATAAATTCAAATTTTAAAATATATAATTATGTTAAAAATATAAAATTAATTGTATATATTAAGATTTTGAACCATAGCTTAATTAACCCAATCAGTTTCAAAGAACGTTGGAAAATTGGCAATACGTTAGGCTTTGTTTGGCGGAGGAATTTACACGTTGCCGTCATTAAAGAAAATGTCAATGATCGATCATTAATCTTGATACACCTAAATATTTAAAAATATAAGAAGTGTATTAAAATGTTAACTGTTTTGACATTGTCTCCATTTTAATTTTTAATAACAGTTCATAGATTAGGGCAGTGACGAAGTTAGAAAATCAAATTAGATAGGGCATTTATTAATTATAATATTGAAAATTTTTATAAAAATATTTCACGTAAGTTTTTACGATTGATTTTGAGAAACATCAAAAAAATAATATTATTTAT